CCCTGGCCTCTGGCGCGACCTCGGTCTCAACATCTGCCCCTAGTAGGAGCTGCCACTGGGGGCTCCGGCTGTTGTCCAGCTGAAGATGCGGTGCGTGTTCTCGCCATTTTTGAGAGATCAAGAATAGAAGAGTTCAATCATTAATGGTAGAATAAAATCGCACGACAGAGAAGATAGAAGCGAACTTGTTCCTAACTCCATAGCCTCTGGAAGACAAGTGCCGACGTCTCCATACTGATCCTCCAGACTCTACTAAGTTTGCTCGTGACTCGTAAGACCTATGTAACCTAGTACTCTGATACCAACTTGTCACGATCCGGAATTCCCACCTTCGAGACCGTGACGGCGCCTAACATTTCACTTGATAGGTAAGCCAACATTAGAATATTTTATCTATTTTTAACAGTTTAATTTAATTAATGAGAAAAACTGAAATAACTTCAATAATCCAAAGTAATAATGCGGAACCTAAAACAGCCAAACGTCTGATACAACCCTGGATTCGGTGTCACAAGTGCACGAGCTACTAGAATAGTACAAACAGGGTCTGAAATAACATAAAGCTGTCTGAAAAGAAAGTACACGGCCAAATAAAAAGGGAAGGGGACTCCAGGAGCCACGCTGAGCAGCTATACCTCAAGTCTCCACAAGCTATCTAATCCGAGCACGCTAATAACCACCGCTGGGACCAACTCCAAAATCTGCACAAAAAGTGTAGAGTGTAGTATGAGTACAATCGACCCCATGTACTCGGTAAGTGCCGAGCCTAACCTCGATGAAGTAGTGACGAGGCTAAGGTAGGCCACCTACACTACAACATGTACGCAGTATATAATAAAGACAGAAAAGCAAATGCGGAATGAAATAAGACAGTCAACTGAAAATAATAATTATAGCCTCAAGAAATAAGCCAGCGACGATCAGAATTACCAATCCTTAGTGTTTCAAATGAAAATACCGAAAACCAACACAACTCAAGGAAATAGAAAAACATAGGTTGTTGTGGCGCACAACCCGATCCCACCGCACAACACAAAATCCTCCCTTATTCCACCGTAACAACATCAACAACAACAATAATATTAATGTGTATATATATATATATGTGTGTGTGTGTGTGTGTGTGTGTGTGTGTGTTGCGACGCACAGCCCGATCCCACCATATAACAATATTAGTATCATAATTCACCCTTATTTCATTTTTTTCAATCCACCCATATTCTACTTGTTGCGGCGTGCAACCCAATCCCACCATATCAATACAAATTTACCCTTATTCCACCACATCAATCCACCCTTATTTCACCTGTTGCAGCGTGCAACTCGATCCCACCACATTACTACAAATATTCACTGAGTGGAGTTAAATTCATAATTCAAATCACAAGAACCTCTACAGATGATGAATATAAAGCTGAATCAGATGGAAACCTTATACCAATTCGGAAATCCACATATGTAATACTACACAGCAAGACAAGTCTAGAAATGATAGTTAGAAGGTGAAAATAACTCATTTAAGGCGAATAGCAACGAGTCATGAAGGCTTGAAAAGTTCTAACATGTTTAATAGAGGAAACAATGATCAACAAGTAGAAAATAAAGCATAGAAGGCATTTAGGACATATAACAGTTAAGCTAAGGAAGGAGAAAATTAAGGAAAAGCAGGAAATCAGGGAATCAAGTAACCTGGCGGCGTATAAGCACTCTTCATCTTGCATATACGCCGCAACACATGATATTCATGTAGCACATAGTCTGAGGGTTCCTAATTCCCTCAAATCAAGGTTAAACTCAATACTTACCTCACTACACAATCAATTAAGAGCTCTACCGGGGCCTTTCCCTTAGAATCTGCCTCCAAACAACTCGTATCTAACCACAATTGACTCAATAATATCAATATTGCTCAAGAAATCAATTATAATGCATAAATTTAGAGTTTCTAAACTTTTCTCCAAAAAGACAAATCGACCCCTGGCCCGCTTGGTCAAATCCGAGATTCGGACCAATATCCATTTACCCATTCACCCCCGAGCCCGATTATGTAATTAGTTTTGGAATCCGACCTCAAATTGAGGTCTAAATCACTAATTTGCAAAAACCCTCAATTCTTCCTAAATTACTAGTTTTCTACCATGGAAGAACAAAGATTAGGGCTAGAAATTAAGGGGTGATATTAGAAATGAAAGAAAATGAGTTAAAGTGTACAAACCTATGAATTGATGTTGAGTTTTCTCTTCAAAATCGCTCCTAGGACGAGCTTTAATGGAAGGGTTATTAAAAATGGGAGAAATCCCGTTTTTGAAATGTTTTAGAGTCTGGGCGTTACGCCTTCTTCGCGTTCGCGAAGGGCCTGCCGCGTTCGCGAAAGGCAGTGGCCCGAAAGGCCTACACGTTCGCGAAGGGTTGCACACGTTCGTGATGGTCTGTCCCCCTTGACCATTGCGTTCGCGAGCCTTGGCTCGCATTCGCGTGGAATAACCCACTAATCCCAGCCCACCCCCAATAACTCTACGCGTTCGAGTGTCGCTGGTCGCATTCGCGAAGAGCAAACCCCCCAATGCTCCGCATTCGCGACCATGACCTCGCGTTCGCGTAGAACAAATCCTCCCCCAACCCTGTTCACTCTTCGCGTTCGCGAGAGTAAGGAAACACCATAAACCAGCAGAAGTCCCAAAAACCAGATTTCCTATGTTTCAAAACATCTGTAGCCTATCAGAAACTTATCCGAACCTGCGGGACTCCAAACCAATGATGCACACAAGTCCAAAAAACTCATATGAACTCGCTCGCGCGATCAAAACACCAAAATAATGCCTAGAACTTCGATTTAGACACCAAATCTAATGGAAGTTTCAAGAAAACATTAAAACTTCTATTTTAACAACCGAACGTTCGAATCACGTCAAACCAACTCCGTTTCTCACCAAATTTGACCGACAAGTCATAAATATAGTAATGGACCTATACCGGATTTCGGAACTAAAATACGAACCCGGTATCAACAAAGTCAAACATCGATCAATTCTTTAAAATCATTTAACCTTTAAACTTTTAATTTTCGACAAAAATCAATAACTCGAGTTAGGGACCTTGGAATTCGATTCCCCGCATACGCCTAGGTCCCAAATCACGATACGGACCCACCTATACAGTCAGAATACGGATTCGGGTTTGTTTGCTCAAACGGTTGACCGAAGTTAACTCAAATGAATTTTTAAGGTAAAATTCATATTTTATGAGTTTTTAACATAAAAGCCTTCCGGAAAAATACCCGAACTGTACACAAATCGAGAAAGGCTTTAACAAGCTATTGGAGGGTTCGAAACACAGAATTCTAAAATTCTAGATGACCTATCGGGTCATCACAAAAATTCGCCTTTGCACGACTCAAATCTAACAAAAAAACGACTTAACATAATCAAAAAATGCAAGGGAAACCAATCTCAGTCAGTAAAGGTATGATCTTTATACATTTCCCCAAAAGTCAACAAAAGTCAACATTGGGATCGCCCTATCAAAACCCGAGCGCAACGGTATATTCCGACTACCCATAACCCCATGAGCCTATATATGTGTTTTGTTTTCAAATCCGTGTCCAAATCGACTCTCAAAACCCAAATTTTCTTTTTTCAAAACTTAGACAAAAATCACCAAAATTCCTCTTTGATTCTCAAAAATTTGATGTTCAATCTAGTATATAATCATCAAATATAGTTGGAAATTGATTAAAATCACGTACCCAATGATTGTACATGAAAATTCCCTCACCAAATCGCCTCCTACCGAGTCTATGGTTCTAAAATGAGAGAAAATGAGATGAAATTCCGACTCTTAGCCCTTTTGTTCAGTTGCAGATGTCACAATTGCAAGGGAACCTTATAAATGCGGCACCTGTCAAGCCCAGGAGATGTCGCAATTGCGACACAGACCTTGCAATTGCGACACAGACCTCGCAAATGCAAAGTCTGTCCTCCTCACAAAATGCGATCAAATTATCGCAAATGCGAACTAACCCACTTAAGCCTAGACTTTGCAAATGTGAACCAAATACTGCAATTGCGATACCTAAGTCCCCCCCTGTCATGTTCGCAATCGCGATAACTGTAGCATCGGCACACCAGCAACCTATATTTGAGTCCAAACCTTTCCGAAACACGTCCGAAACTCACCCGAGCCCTCGGAACTCCAAATTAAATGTCCACACAAGTCTAAAAACATCATACGAACTCGCTCACGCGATCAGAACACAAAAATACCATCTAAAATTATGAATCGAACATCAAAACGCGTGAATTTCAAAGAAAAGTTCAAGAAACTCTAGAATCGCAACCAAGCATCTGAATCCTATCAAATCAACTCCAAATGACACCAAAATTTGCAGACAAGTTCCAAATAGCAAAACAGATCTATTCCAAGTCCCAAAACTAAATTTCAAGCCCGATAGCCAAAAAGTGAACCTACGATCAAACTTGAGAAAACTTCTAAACCTCAAATTGCCAACTTTAGGCAAAACAAGTCAAATCAATGTAGGGACCTACGAATTCGATTTCGGGCATACGTCCAAGTCCAAAATTACGGTAGGTACCTATCGGAGCCATCAAAACACCGTTCTGGGGTCGTTTTCAAAAAAGTCAAACTTTGGTCAACATTTCTAACTTAGGCTTCTAAGCCAAGAACCAAAGGGTCCAAATCAACCCAAAACCTTCCCGAGACGAAACTAACCAACCATGCAAGTCGTAAAACCACAAATATATATGTGTGAAGCATCAAAAGAGGAAAGGGCGCACAAATACATAAAACAATCGGTCAGCTCATTATACGGAATCATCAAAACTCCATTTTGAAACCATCTACTTAAAAGTCGAATTTCGGTCAATTCTTTCAACTTAAACCTTCAACCTTGGGACTATGTGTTCGAGTTCACTCCGAATCATTCCTGAAACCAGTTCAACGACCCTGACAAGTCACATAACCACAAATGAACATAGAAGAAGTGATAATTAGGAGATCGGGGCTACAATACACGAAACGACCGGTCGGGTCATTACAGAATGAGAATTTCTTAGGAAAGAATAAAGCAGCAAGGTACATAATAATGCGCATCAACCAAACATTAAAGCCAGCAAGGTACATACTAATGCGCATCGACCAAACATTCCAAAATTGAGTATATCTCTTCCACTCTGGGGTGAGATTTGTCTACTGAATAGAACTGATGAACTTGGCTATCAAGCTCAATCCAACTGCAACCACGAGCTTTATAAGCATTCTGCTGATTTAGGATCTTCCTTATTTTTCGAACCTCTTCCCACTTCCCCAACTCCCCATATAAATTAGCCAGCATAGAGTAATAACTACCATTATTTGGATCAATTCGAATCAAGTTTTTCAGTGCATATTCAGCCAAGTCAATACGCCCATGAATTTTGCAGCCGTTAAGCAAGGTACCCCATATAACTGCATCGGGAGCTATGTGCATCTTTCTAACAATTTCCATAATTTCCTCAAACCGACCTGCTCGACCAAGAAGATCAACTAAACACCCATAATGCTCAATTTCAGGGGTAATTCCGTATACCCTAGTCATTAAGTCATAATAACTAAGCCCCTCTTGAACCAACCCTCCATGAGTACAAGCATTCAACAAGCCAATAAAAGTCACTGAATCAGGTTTTAAATCATCGCCATGTTGCAACATTTCTTTGAAAACTCCAATAGCACCTTCCCAGTGACCTTCAAGGGCCAAACAATTGATCATAGAATTACAACATGTCAAACTCCCCCTATTAGCCTTATCAAAAAAATATCTTGCTTCTTTCAAGCTCCCGCATTTTCCATACATATCAATGAGAGCATTCAAAGTAAGCGAATTCAAATGAACACTATTCCGATACACATACCCATGAATGCATTTTCCGAGCTGAAGCATTCCGGTATGCCCACAAGCAGCAAGTACACACGCAAATGTAACATCATTAGGCTTATTCGATTGAACGATACCGTTCTCAACTATCATTCTTCTTAAAAATGAAATGGCCTCAGAAAACAGCCCATTTTGTGTACACCCCGCAATTATGGAATTCCAAGAGGGAGTGTCTCTTACGCACCGAGGAGTTTCTTCAAAAAGCAAAATAGCATCACCCATTTGCCCAACTCTAGTATATCCCGATATCATCGCAGTCCATGAAACCACATTCCTGTCAGTAATTTCATCAAACAGTTGCCGTGCAACTTTAATATCAGACGAAGACCTTGAATAAGCATCCAATAGAGCTGTCTGAACAACAGGGTATTTTCCAAAACCCATTTTGTCAATATGGGTATGCGCCATTTCAATCCCATAAAACTTTATAACTTCAGGGAAAGACTTTAAGATTATAGGGAATACAAAATGGTTAGGCCTTGACAAGCCATTACGAACCATTTCACGGTATAACAAAAGAGATGATGTATGATCTTGAACGGAAGTGTAAGCAGTAATCATCGCAGTATAAAGGTAAACATTGGGAAAATTAAGGTAATTGAAGATTAAACGAGCATAATGGAGGTTTGAGAGAGTGATGGTGCAGAAACGAACAAGCTTGAACGCATAAAGCTGCGTTTGGCCATGACCAGTGGTAATGAGATGGCCTTGCAATTGCTTGAGTAGAGCAAGACTCTTGCATTTATCTAGAATAACTAGGATGTCTTGATATAGATTTTGTCCGAGTAGCATTTTCCTCGGAAACAATACATTCAAAATTGGAGGTATAAATACTTGTTAGTAAATAAACCTCCTAATTTTTAGGTTTGTCCTAGTCCTTAGGAAGTAGTTTAACGTGGTTTTTGTTATCTAGTTTTTAGGAGAAAACTTTGTGGGGTAGCTCCTAATTTTTAGCTTAAGTTTGCTATGTTTTTTCTGTTATAAAAAGACTGCAGTTGCAGCATTGTAGTCAATTAGTCAAGCAATTTCTTTTTCACGTCTATTGCCTCTTTCTCTGCTCTATTTTTCACTTATAAATCTTCATCCTTTTTTGATCAGTTTTCTATCAGTGGTATCCAGAGCAAGGTTAGATCCAGAAAAAAGATAAACCTGTGAGAGAGAGAGTTTACCCAAAAACAAAAAAATTGTTCTTCATCTATGGCTTCAGAGAGCAATTTTGTGCAAGCAGCTATTCCCCGTTTTGATGGTCACTATGACCACTGGAGTATGCTGATGGAGAATTTCCTACGGTCAAAAGAGTATTGGCCAATTGTTGAAGACGGCATTAAAGCACCAGTAGTAGGCGAAACTTTGACGGATGCTCAAAAGACAGAGTTTGAAGCAAGAAAGTTGAAAGATTTAAAGGCAAAAAATTATCTCTTTCAGGCTATTGAGCGTCCCATCTTGGAAACCATTCTTTACAAAGAAACTTCCAAGGATATATGGGATTCCATGAAGAAAAAGTATCAAGGCTCTACAAGAGTGAAGCGAGCACAGCTTCAAGCCTTGAGGAGGGACTTTGAAACCTTGCAGATGAAGGAAGGAGAATCCGTCACCAACTACTGTGCTAGAACCATGGAGATATGCAACAAGATGAGATTCCATGATGAGAACATGGGCAACGTCGTAATAGTGGAAAAGATATTGCGCTCTCTGACACCAAAGTATAATTATGTCGTTTGCTCCATTGAGGAGTCAAAAGACATAGATGTCTTATCACTTGACGAATTACAGAGCTCCTTATTGGTGCATGAGCAGAAGATGAACCGCAGTTCAACTTCCGATGAGCAGGCTTTGAAGGCTTCTACTTTTATTTCTTCTTCCAATTCCAGAGGAAGGGGTAGAGGTACAGGTCGAGGCAGAAGAAGAGGAGATCATGGAGGTAGAGATTCTTGTAGGAATTTCAAAGCAAATAATGATCAATCTCATGGCAAAGGCAGAGGTCGAGATCATGACAAATCCAAGATAGAGTGCTATAGATGTCATAAATTTGGTCATTACGCATCTGAATGTTATACTAGGCTGTCTAATGACAAAGAAAAGGAAGAGAAGTCCAATTACACGGAGAACAAGGAAGGTGAGACCTTGTTGATGGCAATTCAATTAGAGAAGGAAACCGAGCGAGATGTTTGGTATTTAGACACAGGCTGCACTAATCACATGACTGGAAGTAAGTCTTGCTTTTCTTACTTAAATGAAGGCTTCCGTTCTAAAGTTAGTTTTGGTAATTGTTCTACTGTGGATGCAACGGGAAAAGGTGACATCAAGATCAAAACCAAGAAAGGTTTTGTGGAAACAATCTCTAATGTGTTATATGTTCCTGATTTGAAAAGTAACTTACTGAGTGTTGGTCAGTTGCAAGAGAAAGGTTATGTCATCACTATTAAGAAGGGTGAGTGTGAAACTTATGACCCCATGAGAGGAGCTATAGCAACAGTTCAGATGAGTTCCAACAAATTAATTATTTCCGATAAAGATTGATAGTGTTCAATCTTGTTTGATGAGGAAGTGAAGGATCCCTCATGGCTGTGGCATTTTCGTTATGGTCATTTGAGTTTTGGAGGATTGAAGACACTTCAGGAAAAGAACATGGTCACAGGTCTTCCTCAAATTACTGCTCCTTCTCAAATTTGTGAACAATGTGTTGTTGGTAAACAACACCGATCTCAATTCCCGAAAGGCAAATCATGGCGAGCAAAGCATGTTTAGGAGTTGGTTCCCTCTGACATATGTGGGCCAATAAGACCAATCTCTAATGGAGACAAAAGGTATTTCATTACCTTCATTGACGATTATTCTAGAAAGACTTGGGTGTATTTTCTGCGGGAAAAATCAGAGGCTTTTAATGTATTTAAAAGCTTCAAAGCTAATGTGGAGAATGAGACAGAAAAGACTATCAAGAGCTTCCGAACAGACCGTGGAGGCGAATATTGCTCTAAGGCATTTGAAGAATTTTGTGGGACTCATGGCATTCGAAAAGAGCTCACAACGGGTATACACCACAACACAATGGTGTATCGGAGAGGAAGAATAGAACCATTCTCAACATGGTTCGAGACTTGCTAGCTCGAGGAAAAGTTCCAAAGACATTCTGGCCCGAAGCAGTAAATTGGAGTATTCATATTTTGAATAGAAGTCCAACATTTGCTGTTCAAAACATGACTCCAGAGGAGGCTTGGAGTGGAAGGAAACCTGCTGTAGATCATTTTAAAAAATTTGGTTGCGTTGGCTATGCACATATCCCAGACGAGAAGAGGAAGAAGCTTGATGACAAAAGCGAGAAGTGTGTCTTTCTTGGTGTTAGCGAGGCATCCAAGGCGTACAAGTTGTTCAATCCATTGACAAAGAAGCTTGCGACCAGCAGAGATGTTATTTTTGATGAAGAAAACTCTTAGGATTGGAATATGCAACAGTCTATTCCAATCTTAATTGATAATGAAGTCGAAGAAGCAGCAACAATACCCGAAAATTCTGAAAATTCTAATCCAGTAGCTGCTGAAATTTCACCTTCAGCTTTGAAAGAAATTGATGCACCAGATGAGTCTCTTCGTCGTGCTCGCAAAAGGCCCGTGTGGATGATGGATTATGAGGTAACAGGAATTGATGTAAATGAAGATGATTTTTCCTACTTTGTATTGTTTGCAGATAGAGATCGG